GTTGGAATTGACGGAAAATCTCATAAGCAGTTCCTTACTTCACCTCTGCCTTGCATGCGGACTTCCGAGTTGTAAAACAACTCAGTGGTAGATGGAATTTGCTCCAGGACTTAAGAACAATAAACGACATAGTTGAACCTCTACATCTTGTGATTCCTAACCTTTATAATATAATAGACAAAGTGCTAGTCAATAGGCCTTTTATTCTAAGAACTACCTTCCCTCTGTAACTTGATTGGTGCCACTATTAGAACCTTTACCTGGAATATTATTGCTTTAAAAAAAAAAGATCAAAAGTTCATGAAGTTCTACACAAGACAGATGAATCTAAAACAAACTATGAGTGACATAAGTCAGTCCCAAAAGGGCGATTATGATGTAAGACTACTAATATAAAGAGGTAAGGGAAGTTTTACACAAAGAATCAATCTTGGAGGGTTTATAGGGATAAAAGGGGAAGAAGAGTGGAGTAAAAAGGAATAAAAATAAGTTGGGCAAAGGGAAAGGCAAAAATACAATAAGGGTTTGATTGTTGTTGTTAGTGCTGTCAAGTTGGAATAGACTCGTAACTGATGCTCCAGCAGGTTTTCAGAGGCAGTAAATCACACAGGAAGACACTGCCCATCTTCCTCTCGAAGAGCAGCTAGTAGATTTGAACCTTTAACCTTTGAGTTGGCAGTATAACTCCTTAATGCTAAGCCATCAGAACTCCCCTGAAAATGTTTTACTAGACACTGTAATAAATCAATATATTTAGCAATTGTAATTAATATAAAATAGAATGAATGACTCAATGAAAAAATCAGTATGATTTGTAAACTTTCACTCAAAAAATATCTACTACTATTAAACTAGAATAAAATTTAAACTAGAAAAAATTTTTAAAAGAGGGGGAAAGGAGGAGATTGCCCATCCTTCTGTCATAAAATAAGTATGTATGAATGATTTTTTTTTAAGTACTATTATTGGAGGGGAAAAGAAAAATAATTGTTGATGGTTAAAATGAAAAAAAATTAAAAATAATAGTGACACTAAATCAACAAAAACAAAAGAACTGTCCAAACAACATCCTGGGGTGGGGGGTGGGGGGCTGTACAAAGAGCAGTGGGGTTTGTGGGAGCTGAGGAGGGATGATGGTCCCTGCCTCTGGGTGGTGTGTGGGATGGGCCAGGTGGCTCTATGGTGGATTCTGTGAATGAACTTGAGAAGGTCTGGGTCTGAGATCACCTTTTTATAGCTCTGTGACACAGAAGTGCTACATCCTCTTTCAGAAGGGGATGTGCTGGGGAGATGACACAACAAAATACTATGGAAGATAGAGGGCAGAGATGGGAGAGAAATCTCATTTTTTCTATACATTATCATGCACCTTTTGAGTTTGGGACCAGCCAAAGTTATCACTTCGTGAAAATGATAAGAAATTTGTCTATGCACACCCATGTTTATTACTGCTTTGTTCACAATAGCAAAGAGTTGGAAACAACTCAAATGCCCATCAACAAACAAATGGGTAGAGAACCTGTGGTATATTCACACAATAGAATATTATGCAGCACTGAAAAACAAAAAATGGGTGACCATGGAGGACATTATACTGAGTGAAATATCTCAGTTACAAAAAGACAAATACTGCATAATGCCACTGTTATAAAACAGGATTGATAGTGCAACAATGAATGAATGGAAATCCAAAATCTCTGTAAATGTTCATTAAAATTAATAAAATTTAATTTAAAAAAAAAGTAAAATACTCATTGCTGTCAAGTCATAATTGACTCATAAGCTGACTTATAGGTTGGGGTTAGGGTTAGATTGCAGGGGGTTTTCAGAGGCTATAAATTGTACATGAGGAGAGTACTCATCTTTCTCCTATTGAGAAGTTGATGGATTTGAATAACCAGAGAGGTACTGCCTTTGGGACAATAGCACAGCTCCGTACTAAAATATATATTACCATGGCCTCAAAATAAATGTACTGATAAGTAAAAAATAAAATAGGACTACTTAAATAACAACCACCAAATAATGTTCTTTATGATTACATGAACTTCAAATATGGAGTTTGTAAAATGAAAGGAAAAAAATCCTTCCTTTTCATGAATGAAACAAAATAAAAATTTCTGAAAATTAAAAAAAAACAAAACCCCAGGATTGACATGGGAATTGGAAGAATGGGTAAATATTGTAACCGGCATTGAAACAGATGAGGGAGAGAACTGTATAAAAGGGATATATGATTAGGTATTATTGTCATGACAAGAGTCCAGAATAAGAGCTGTGTAGTAAAGTGGTCAGGGGCGGGGGATGTATAACACTGAAAGAACTTTTTTTCCAAAGAAAAAAAGCAAACTGATGGGGAGGAGACGGGGGGAAAATGTGTAACAATGAATGAATGGAAATCCAAGTTTTATATAAACGTTAATTAAAATACCAATTAAAAAATGCATTGTTCACAATACAAAAAATTTAAAGAAAAGCGTTCATAAGTAATAAAACAGTAGTTCACGAAGATGACAAAAATCTCAGCTCTGCTGCTATGTACATTGTTGTTGTACTTAGGTGCTGTCAAGTTAGTTCTGATTTACAATGACCCCATGAAAGATAGAAGAATCGTCCCTAATCCTACGTCATCATCACAAACCTCATTCCTAGTCTTGCTTTTTCTTGTTGACTTTATACAGCATGATGTCTTCCTCTAGTGTTGATCATTCCTGATCACACGTCCAGAGAATACGAAATGAACTCCTGCCGTTCTGACCTCAAGAAACATTATGGCTGAACTTGGTCCAAGATACATTGGTTTTTGTGGTAGCTCATAATATATTTAATATATTTTGCCAACACCACAATTCAAAGGCATCAAAGTGGTGTCCAGGGGAGCTCTGGTGGCCTAGTGGCAAGAAGCTGCAACTACAATCCCAGAGGTGCACGGTTCAAATCCACCAGATGCTCTGCCGGGGAAGGAGGGACAATCTCCTCCTGTACCAGTCAGATCTGATTTGACGGTACATGCACACAAAAAAATAAAATTAAATTTAAAAAAAACAAACAAACAAAGTGGTGTCCAAAAAGTATATGAAGTGATTGGAAAATATTATGGCTTGAGTCTGGGACATCTTAGTTGTCAGAGTGACAATTTTGCTGGTTAGCACTTTAAAGAGGTCCTTTGCCCCATATTTGCCAAGTGTAGTACATGACTTGATTTCTTGACTGTTGCTTCCATGAGCGTCAGTGTGGACTCAAGCAAAACTAAAACGTCATTCTTTTCTCATGATGTTGCTTATTGGCCCAGTTGTGAGGATTTTTGTTTGTTGTTGAGATGAAATCCAAACAAAAGGTTATAGTCTTTCATCAGTAAGTGCTTTAAGTCTTATTTTTAAGCCAAGTTGTATCATCTACATATTCCAAGTTGTCAGTGAGTTTCCCTCCAATCTTGATGCCACATTCTTCTTCATATAGTCCAGCTTCTTGGACTATAGCACGTGTCTTTTTATCATTAGCCAGGAAAATGCTGTCATTGTGGCTTCTAGTCTGTGACACACCAGTATGGGGATGTGAATATTCCTATTCCTGTATTGCTTGCTACAGTATCCAATATCTTGTTGGATTATACAGTACTGAGTTAAGTCAGGACTGAAGGCTGACAGAAGAGGTGCTAATTCAGGACTCAGGCTTGAAGTGTCAGACAGTAGGCCAAACACTTTATCCTGTATGTATAATTGCATTTTTCTTCACAGTAAATGCAGGAGGCAAAGTAACACTCTTTTGCTCATTTTACAGATAAAGGCTTAAACCCAGAGAGGCTCAGTGCCTTGCCAAAGCACAGCCAACTTATGGAATGTTTGGACTCCAACCCTGGCCCCCAGTCCCAGAGCTAAGCTCGTAGCACTATGCTGATAATTACACACAGAAGGTACTAGATAAAAGCTTGGAAGGAGACCTGCTTGGTTCTGTTCAGCAGCAATACTATGTCTTCCTCTTCACTGGATCTCAGCAATGCACAGCACATAGCAGGCCTGGCATAGAATTGGAACTCATGATGTATGTGAAGAGATGTGAATAAACATGCTTCCTCTGGCAGCTCCAGATCTCACAGAATGGTGATCCCTTGTTGCTCTCTAGGAAAGCGTCAGGGATGGCTTCTCTCAAGCACATTCTCTCATCTGACCTGGCATGGCCAGGGTGGCATTTGTAATGTCCCCGGGCCCCATCAAGCACAAGTAGGGATGGAGAAGACTAGATGAGAGCCTTCTGCCCAGACTTGCCTGGGGTCTTGTAAGATCTTTCAGGTTACAAGGCAGAACCTATGCACATACAGCTCAGTGTGAGAGAAGTACAAAAGTCTCAGAGCCAAAGGTCTAGAAGCAGAGAGAGAGCTGACGACCTCCCAGGAGTGTGACTCCCAGACTCCCATGGAGGAGGGCTGGGGACAGACACAGGACTGTGAACTAGGGTCCAGGGCTGGAAAGAACGTGTGGTCCCCTAAAATACCAGAGCCAAAGGAGAACCGGAAAGGAAAAAACATCCCTCTAACAACTCCTCCAGTTTACAGATAAGGCAACTGAGGTTACAGAGCAATGCTAGGGAGCTAATGGCTGAGGTCAGATTCTTGTTTCTGACCCCACTGTGCTGTTCCTGCTATCACCTGGAGGAAATTATGGTCCTGTTCTAGGACCATGTGAAAATCCCAGATTGACGACTTTGGAGGTTTTCCAAGGCAAGAGGATACTGGGTGGAAAGAACCTGGCTTCCCCAATATCTCCTACCAAAGACAACACAATAAAAAAAAAATTTAAATATTTATTTGGAAAGTTGTGATACCTCCTTTCCTCCCCCAGCTCAAGTTCAACACTCCTCTGTCTACACCTTCTACCTCTGCCACCATCCCTGCACCTCCATTGTCATGTCCCTACCTCCACTAACCCTCCCCTCACCTCCACAGCCATCTCCCAACCTCTTCTACAACCCTCTCCCTTCCATCCCTCCAGTCTGGGACTCACCTGGAACGTCAGGTGATGGGTTGAGAATCATGAAGGCATCTGACAGGCCTGCTTTGACTGGGTGCTGGGAGGCACTGATTTCCAGGACAGACATGGGGATCTGCAGGGCCAGAAGCAGCTTTATCCAACCCCTAAACCACTCTCAGGCCAGCCCACACCGCCCCTCTAAAATCCAGACCCCTCTGCCTGCTTGGTGCTCTCAGAGGGCTCAAATACAACAGAATTCCCCAATCTGGACCTCATTTCCCCCCCACACCTCCTCTAAGCTCATTTCTTTCCTCTTTTCTCCATCTCGGTAAATGGTACTTTCACACAGTTCAGAAGCCTGGAATCCCTGGCGCCTCCCTTTCCTTCATCTCTTTGAATACATCTTCAGATCCTGTTAATGAAACTAAACTAAGTCCACACTAAACCCCCTGTTTCAAGTCAGTTCTGGCCCATAGTGGCCCTTCATTGGGTTTTCAAGGCTGTAAACCTCAATGGGAAGAGGCAATCTCACCCTTCTCCTATGGGGCAGCTAGTTGGTTTAGACTGTTAACGCTATCACTTAACCTACTGTTCCACCAGGGCTCTGGGCTTTCAAATCTGACAAGTTCTGTCCATCCAATCCAGCCCCTCTTCAAGCTCTGAGGACCATTCCCAGATGTTAGGAAAATCTCATTTCATCCAGCCCTGAAGTCCCTTCAATCTGTACTTTACCCTGAAGCCAGATTGAACCTTTTGAAAGGCCAGTCTAGCTGTGTCCCTGTAATCCACACTTCTACCCTAATTTAGATCCTACTGCTCTTAAAATATGCATTGAATGGCTCACCTCACCTCTCCAGCCTAAGTGTACATGCTCATCCCTCATATTCCTCCATCCAGGCTGTCATCTTTCAAGTCCTGCCCCAGGACCTTTGCATACATTGTTCTCACTTTCTGGAACATGTTCCCCCCTCTTCTTTTCTTTGCTAACTCTTACCCTTATAGATCTCAACTTCTTTCCTTGGGGAAACCTTCTCTGACTTTGCCAAGGTGAAAAGTCCAATGATAGACCCTGTCGGCACTAGTCATTTCTACTTAAGAGCATTGGGTATTATATATGTAGGGAACAGTGGCCTACTGGTAAAAAGCTGTGCTGCAAACCTGAAGGCACACGGGTTTGAATCCCTCAGCTGCTCTGTGGGAGAAGGATGGGCAGTCTCCTGTGTGATTTACTGCCTCTGAAAACTCACTGGAGGATTAGCTATGGGTCGGTTATGATTCAATGGTACACTTACAGTATCATTCCATCTCATCTGAAGTCTTCCTCTCCTGCACTGTCCCTCCACTGTGCCAAGTATGATTCTGTTTCCATGGACTGTCCTTTTCTTCATGGCTAAGTACCCAAAGTATGTGAAATGGAGCTTAAAAATCCTAGCGACCAAGGAGAAACTCGGTTTCACCATCTCCAAGACAGACCTATTTGTTCTCTTGGTAGTTCATAGTATGTGCAATACTCTTCTCCAGTACCACAACTTAAAGGCAGCTGTTCTTCTGTCATCCTTAGTCATTGTCCATCATCATCTTATCAACCGCCACATCCCCAGCACTAAGCCCCCTTCTCTACAAATGTTTGCTCCAAGCCCCACTGTCTCCAGAGTGGCAGTCTCTCACCTCTTTGTAGCCAAAGACAATGCGGCCATCACGGTGCAGGGCTGCCTGGAAAGTGAAGCTGCCTCTGTCCTCCCGACCTTGAAGGTAGACGTGATCCCACTGAACTACAAAAACTGTCCCTGGGGAGAAGAGCAAAGGCTGGGCTGAAAGGAGAATTGGTGCAGGGCGGCCAGGCTCTGCAGAGATGAGCACCAGTGATCACAGGTTGGGGACCAATCATCACAGATGAGGATCAATCATCACATAACCCCTTAGGGATGACAGGACGAGTCTGCAAGTTTGACTGGAGGCAGCAGCTGAGCATCCCATGAACGTGAGCTTGGCCTCACATGCTAGAGAGGAATCGGATCCTCTCTCTCACTCAGACACGCTAAACTGAACACTTCTTACCCTAAGTATCTTACATCGTCCTAGCCTATCCCCATCTCTGACATGAAAAGGAAAGGAAACAGGGGAATATCTGTTCTGGGGTGCTCAAGGGGTGGTTGGTGAGAGTGTGCGATAACAAAGGGCCCTGATTCCATTTCTACTAAGAGCCAAGAAATTTCACTTCACTGTGTCATCAGAGCCTGCAAAGTAAAGGGCATTTTTGTGCCCATTTTACAGATGAGGAGACTGAGAACAGAAAGGTGGCTGCCTGACTTGCTGCTGCATGACTGTGACCAAATACCTTGCTTTCTCTGGACCTTAGGCTCCTCTGAAAGAGCTGGCCTCAGACTGTGAGCTCGGGTCTTACCATTGTCAAAGTAAGCGACTGTAGAATTGTCGGAGTAGCCGGGGTTGAAGTTGGCCATCAGGGGGGCCACGTACTGAGTGGCTGTGAGCATCCGGTGGATCACATCGCCCATGAAGATGAAGCCTGGGTAGGAAGACGGGGAGAGATGTTACCAGAGAGGGCCCACAGGAGCTACTTTTCCGGAAATCCCCCACATGAGTGAATAAAAAGATCTCAAGTACAAGAAGGTACAAGCCAAGATGAGCTTCAGGCTTCTGCCTCCTACCCTCATCTCTAGCCCTGATTGGCTCTAGCTAGGCCTGCAGTATACACATCAAAAAGGTCCCAGATCAAAGAAAGGCCCAGACTGTGGAATAAAGGGCAGAGACAGGAAAAGGAGGTAACCCTCACCTCTCCCATCTTGGTTCCTGGGGAGGTGCACAGGAATCAAAGTATGACAGTCGAGGGGGACGGGGCTGAGTGTAGGGGTCCTGGTCCTAGGAACCCCAGATCTCAGTGCTGTTTCCCTCTCCTCCTTCCTTGTTAATTGGCTCAAAAATACAAGGACCCTGGACTTCCCACACTGGCTCATCCTGGCCCAGCAGAACACACACACACACTCTCTCTCTCTCTCTCTGTCTTTGTTGTCTGTCATCAGGTTTCCTCTAATTCTTAGCCATCCTGCATGACAGAGATACCTTGGCCATAAATAAGGGAGCAGATCACCAGGTCTTTGCTCCCACAGAGCATCTGGTAAATGAAGGAGCAGAGCTTTTAGTCAGCAGCTGAGCACTTACCCATCAGCCCACAAGGGCTTCTAACTATATATCTCTATCTCTAGTCTTTCTCCCTGAAGAGCAAGTCAGCTGATATGAGGAGGGTGATCTGGGGCATGCACTGACCTCCTACCCAACAGGGAGCATGACTCCCAAGAGAACCAAATAGGGTCTCTCCCCCACCCATTACACAACCCCCTAGGAGATAGAGTTCTGGCTGAGAACTCAAAACCCTTCCCAGGGCCCTGCTGACATGGCCTTACCTCCAGTTGCTATGGTGATCTGCCGCAGAGGATGCCCATAGAAAGGGAAATCAAAGGACAAGACCACTCTCTATAGGGAACAGGAGAGAGTCAGCATAAGCTTAGTCGCAGGCCAAGGTGCTGGAGACCCATCCTGTCCCATGCATGTCTGGACAGGGTGAAGGACAGGCATCCCTGGGGTATGCCCCAGAACCACAGAAGGACACCTCAGATTTGACAAACCCCTTGAGTCTCCCTAGAAAGCACCTCCCAGGTCCCAGCCTGAAGGTGTGCCTACGACCAGTCAGGGTGGGCTGGCCCATAACCTCCCAGCCCGGGGTGATGCTGCTGAGACCAGGGCACTCACCGAAGCCTGCCGGTGGCTGCTGGAGAGGATTCTGTGGACCTTCACTAGGCTCTGGTTGGCCTCAGTCACGTCCATCCATAGCTCCCGGCCTCGGGGCTCACCAGGACCATACAGGCGAGACACGTAGTAGCTGTGGTTGTCCTCCTGATAGAGACAGAGCCCAAGGAGCCCAAGACAGAACCCACAGGAGGCAAGAAGAGTCAGTTGGCCAGGCAGGACCACCCTTATGCTCACTGCATTCAGACTTCTGGATATGAGAAGTCACTATTTTCCTAGCTGTTGAAGATGTGCTCAGCATGTTGGTATAAGCCTAGGAGTCCCTGGCTCCCTTGGCCCCAGAAAACTCTCTACGTGGTCTTTGGCTACACCACCAAGAGCCTTGGCCCCAGCCAAATCCATGCTATGCCTTAATGTTTCCAGATAAGCCAGGATTAATCTATAACGTCAGAGATCCTTTGGAGACCACCCAAGGCAGGGCCTGGTCTGTGACGTGGGACCAACAGACAGGATGACCTCAAATAGAACACTACTTCAGAGAGCTTCCAGACACAAATTCCCTGTTTAAAGATGTAAAAGGAGCAGATAACAATGTAGGAGTGGCTGCATCTGACTTAAACCTGCTTCATAAAGGGGAACTGTCCCCATCAATAATGTCCATGTTGTTGTTATTGTTGTTGTTGTGTACCATTGATTCAGAACTGACCCACCAGTGAGTTTTCAGAGGCAGTTAATCGCATGGGAGGAGACTGCCTATCTTTCTATAGAGCAGCTGGTGAAGTCAAACTACACACTTTAGGGATTGCAGCACAGCTTCTTGCCACTAGGTCACCAAAATTCCCTAATATAATGTCCATAGGACCATACACATAGCTGCATAGTCAGACATGCCAATGCACCTAATCATGGGGTCTGATGTTCATTACAAGACTCACAGATTTTACTCACAATTATGGGGTTTATTAGGGAAGTAGCTTGGAAAATATGAAGGAGGCAAAGAATATCTCAAAATACAAGAAGGGGTTTAGTCCAACAGTCACAAGCCAGATTAACAGGCACAGCTCCTCAATTAGTGAAAGTCCAGGTTCAGTTCAACAGCACACATGCAAGAAGCCTCTGGTTTCTTCAATTATCTAGCAAACTTTATCTCAGAGCAGTTATAAGTCAGCTTTTCCTTCAATCATCCAGCAAGCAAAACCTTTAACTGGGGCCTTTATCTGAGTTCCTCTGGTTACACCTTATTCACAGTCTCTTCACAACAGTGTCCCAGTTTCTTTACAATCTCTTCATAACCCACCGGCTCTTTTTACAGTGTGGAAAGCACTCTCTTATATTGGTCCCACAGTTGTTGTTGATTTGCGTGACCACGAAGCTGCAGTTAAGGTAGCTAGGAATCATTCCCCCTCATCAAGGGCTAATGCGATAGATAGAAATACCAATTTTCCTTGTGGCAAGGAGCTGCAACTACAATCCCAGAGGCGCGCGGTTCGAATCCACCAGATGCTGTGCTGGGGAAGAAGGGACAATCTCCTCCTGTACCAGTCAGATCCGATTTGACAGTACACCCACACAAAAATAAAAAAAAAAAGAAATACCAATTTTCAAAGGTTCTGAGACCCCAAAGGGAAAAAGAAAAACGGAATATAAGAAGCTAAAGAAAGAGATCATTCATCCTGGGAGTCAATAGTCTGACTAGGGACATGGATTTATGCAAAGAGGACATACAGACAAAAATCCTTAAAGGGAAAATACAAGGCCTACACTGTAGTCAGTTGGCCAAGTGGTTGTTCTTCAGATTTCTTGGCACAACTTGGTGAGCACATCCAGGGCAACATCTGTTATCTGAAATACTTCAATTGG